CCCCAAAACCCCAAAACCCCAAAACCCCAAAATTTGCACTTGGGATAGAACCTTTATTTAAGTTCTTATTTTTAACGAATATTTTGAACAATGGGTAAAAGATCAGCGAAATCTAAACTCTATGAACTGAAGAAGATTATTGCTGAAGGAGGTTATTATGAGCCAAAGGACCTATCTGGCAAGCTTTTGGATTATATTACTAAAGGAAACCATCAGCCATATCTTATAAAGGGGACTTTAACGATGCAGTACTCTCCTCCAAAAGCAAGGTTTAATGATATTAAAGCAGTTGCAGAGCACATTATTGAGTACTGCAAAGTTGCATCTAGGAGTTCTACAAACTTGCAGATGCAATACATTGCGATATATTGTAGCTTACCAGGATTGAAGTACATGGAATATGCGATTACAGCTTTAAATACTATATCTCGTCATAGCTTTGCGATTTCGAGTAGAAGACTTTGAGCAGTGATTTCAAAACTAACGACTGGAACAAGAGGCCAATTTACCTAAAAATGCAAAGAGGCATGCAGTTTTAAATAATCAAGAAATTCCTAGATATTTTCCTTCTCAGCTTATAACTGCATCACTTGGGATTGTGTGTGGAACTATAGTAGTAACGAAAGATGAAAGGCGATTAGCAAATGCAAGCGGAATAATTCAAGATGTCCAATGAACTATTTTGACTTGTCCTATAAAAGTTGTGCTAAAGCTTAATGTTCGGTATGGATATTATGTAAGAGCAGTTCCAAATCATAACCTTGACTTTGGTGACCAAGCAGTTGAGGATCACTACAAAAATGTTGTAATTGGGCGTATTCCATTTGAAATTGTCCTTCCAATAGGTGATCGTAACGATCAATGAACCGGAGCACCAAATATAGCAACTTCACATTCAAGATTCAGCGATATGCAAGTTTATACCCCTGATGACATACAGTTTGTTAAAGGATATAGAAATTTGTATGAGCAGAGCCTAACAAGAAACGAAGGAATGAATGTCTACAGAAGAAATGCAAGTCAAAGATTTGAGGAAAGAATGCTCCTTGAAGATAAGGAAATGGAAGAACTAATACTTAAAGGATTCAAGTTTGAAAAATCATCTAGAATTGACACTCCTGTAGATAGTAAAGTCTTTAAAAATGCAGATCGTACAAGCTTAAATTTAATTCCTGCTTATAACGTAAATAATGACTTTGTAGAAGTTAAAGAAGCTGGTAATAAAGAAGAATACGCTCCTAACATAAATGATAAATTTTTTAACCAAGAAATACAAAATGACTTTGGCTTTAATCCTGGGAAACCCGACTTTAAAAAAAGCCTTATGCTTCCTAGTAAACAAAGCAATGAGGTTGATGAGCATCATCAAAGTGGAGAACCTCTTAAGATCATTGAAAATGAGGGTATTCAATTGGATGAAATTGAATCCTTTTAGAAAAAAAGCAATAGAAGAAGATAAAGAGGAAGCAAAGCCAATAAAAACAAGTGCAGACTGCTGAAGAAAACTTTGAGGCTATAGATACAGTAAAAGCCCTAAGGTGCCATCAAAGAAAGGTAAGTGCATGATTAAATTTTAGATGAAATCATTTCAGGGAAATTTTCTACAAATCTAAAAAATTCTTCAAGCAAGATAGATACCAACCCAAACATTTTCCGAACCTCCAGGGTTGCTCCATATAAAGTAGCTTCTGGGACAAAAATCGATCCTCCAAAGCAAGGTACAATTTTTAACAATAAAAACATCACAATCAATCAAACTCCCAGTGAACTATTCTCCAAAAGAAAAGTAATAGTAAAGAGATCCCGAAAAGACACCTCCCATAACATCTCAGGATATCCGAGCAGTAGTCATAACACAAAAACTAGTATAAAAAGAGTTAAAACAGAAGAAGAAGCCTGAATGGCTGACTTAAGATCAAATGCAGAGATGGCTGGGAAAGTTGTAAATACACAAAGAAGTAAAGAACAATTAAGAAGCAAGAAAGCCGATGGTTTTGAATAAGTTGGAAATTTCAATACATGTAGTTTTAGAGGGGTTTTGGGGTTTTGGGGTTTTGGGG